TTGAGGGGTCAAATCATTGAGCGTGTCGATGAAGCGCGAAATTTGGGTCTGATAATGGATCAAGGTCTTAGGTTTGAGTCCCACATCTCTAACTGCGTCAGAAACTGTTTTTACCGCTTGAAGATACTTTACAGAATGCGCCCGTATCTAAGTGAGGAGTTGCGTGTGCGACTGGTTGAGTCGTTGGTTTTATCCAAGTTAAACTACGCTGACGCGGTTATTGGACCTAGACTGTTTTCACGCACTGAGCGATTGATATAGAGGGTTCAGAATGCCTGCGCGCGTTTTTGTTTTAAAATTCCACCTAGGAGTCACATAACACCTTACTTAAACAAGTACAATCTTCTAAAAATGAAGTCCCGACGTAAGCTCCACCTGGCATGTCTCCTCTTTGGTGTGATTAAGTACAAGTGTCCAGTATACCTGTACTCGAGGCTCTCGCGGGTGAATGCTCGCCGGCAGGTCCCGGGCAGGCGGTGTGCCCAGCTGTACGGCACACAAGCTGCTTGTCGGGTAGTTTCCGATGTGCAGCTTCTAAGTGCTGGAACAACATACCTCCGCCAATCAGGAACCTGCAAAGCACTTTCACTTTTAAACGAAAACTCAATGAGTTTATTATTAACTTTCAAATTGAGAGCGAATCTGTAAATATTGATATTTCGTTTATTTAATCTGACATTTATCCTTCTTATTATTTTATTCGTATAACTGGGTACACAAATTATGTTAGTCACATTATCATATTTATTTATTTTTATAATTATAATTAACTTATTACTTGCACTATTACTGTAACGTAGGATCTCACAAACTCACCCTCGAGCCCCTTGTTGTTGCGTCAGTGCTGGCGAGGTGTCGACCTGCTCGCTTTGGCTTGTCGCAATAAGTGTCGGGCTACGCGATAGCTTCACGACCACAACCTACCCACACTATTCTAATTGTCGTGATATATATGTGGTTTATAATTTTATTTTTATTATTATTATTTTTTTTTTCTACGGTGACGGTACACGTAGCACTTGTTTATGTATCTATACTTATTTTCTTCCTTTTCGTTTATTGTTTTAACATGTGTCATTTGTATTTAAGTATATTATTTCCCTTTAAATAACCCCTATACTTATTTTTGCATTAAATAATTTCTCTTTGCATTAAATAATTTTTCGTTGCTTCCGTCCGTGCGTCACTGCAGGGGTGCCAACTGAAAATCAGTGTTGGGTACTTACTGTGCCCAGCTTAGACTGAGTGGGCGAGCCCTTTCGTCGTGGACATGCTGCCACCCTGTTTCTTTTATTTTGTTTTTTTACCGACTTCAAAAAAAGGAGGAGGTACTATGTTCGGCTGATTGTTTTTTTTTTTTTTTTTTTTTTTTTTTTT